GTAAAAAAAAAATAAAATTAAAAAAAAAAAAAAAAAAACTGTATTATGACTTTTTATAATTGTTTAATGTTGTTGCTGTTGTCCATTGTTGTCATCTTTCTTTGTTGAAATCAGGTCTCTCTTGTAAATGAGTCCTCGAGGCTCAATGGGATTTACCTGTCTAAATAAAGGTTGATTGATTGATTGATAATATCAAACAAAAAGCAAATAAAATACAGAAAAAACAGTATGCTGATGCATTTTCTGTATTTTGACTAAAGCAGGATAGAAAATTGTTTGTGAAGATCTCAGGAAGGTTTCTTGGTTTGTCAAAAAAAATGGAGAATATCCCTTTAAAGAGACACGTTTTAATACAGTTATCAAATTATATGACTGTATCAAACATGCTCAAACATTTTCTGATTTGTTTCTGTATAAGTATCAGAATTGTTACTTTTTAAAGTTGGATTTATACATAAAAAAACATTACGGAATACAAATTTGCAGTAGTCCTAAGTGGAATAATTTTTGCTGCTAACAAAAGAAACCTTATAAAAGGTTAATCAATACACTGAAGTAAATTGCCTGCACTGTTCAGAGCAGGTCAAGTAGAACGTCACCAATAAATCTTTGTAGATGCTAACAAAACCTTTTTTACCAGAGCAAAAAGTTGGGTTCCATAAGTCATACAAATACTTTATGAAACATTATACCATACCATTTTATTTATAGAGCACTTTAAACAGTGACAGGGCAAACCAAAGTGCTGTACAAACAGAAACAAACAGGCAAAGCAAAGATACAGACGGTCTTAGAGCTGAACTTTATAAACAAAGCTGAAAATGTGACATGTTACCTGAGAGATGGGTCTGTCTGGGAAAGACGAGTAGGAAGTTGAAGAGCCAGTAAGGATGTCCAAGACAAGCGGGTTGTCTGGGTCAGCAACCATTCTGGAAAGAAATTTTGCACAGCTGAAAAAGGCTTCATTTAATTTCACCATTCTAAACAAGTAAACTATATTTAATAAATTAAACTAGTAAGGGACAGTTATTTTTTTATTCTGCCAGTGCCTGTCATGTCCATCACACGCTCTAGTAATGAATGGTTTACTGTTGTTTTTTGTACTTACCCAACACCCTTGAATAGAACAGGTTGTTTGGTGGGTTTGCCAACAATAGTAGGAGCCTTCAGCAGGTTCTCTGGGTCAGCAACAATCAGAGTGTGCTGGAGCCAAGATAATTAGTCAATTATAATGCTGAGAGACAAATGCCTTGATTGGTTTTATGAAACAATGTTAAAAGCTTTGGCTGTGCAGAGACAAAGTCCATTTACCTCTCCAGGATCAGACACATCATAGTGATGATGGTCAATAACAGCAGTCTTCTCCTCATCAAACTCGATGCCACATTCACTGCCCAACTCCCTCAGAGGGCCGCCTGTTTAACAAGAAAACAATATGAATAATTAAACATTTATCTTTTAACTGATGAAACGTTAGACAAAGCTTTTATCAAGAAACTGACCTATGTCGGAACTAGCAGCAACCAGGACATTGCCTCCACCATCAATGAAGGACGTTATAGTCTCCACGTTTATATTTCCACCAAAGTCTGAAAATAACCCAAAATGATATCAGATGGCTTGTCCAAGGTGGAAAATATTTCCTTTTGATTTTGAATACAAAAATAAATTTACCTTCGACAGATGGTGAGAAGATGATCAAATGGTCATACAAGAACTGTCCATATTTGATCAAAGACAGGGATGGATCGTCCGCTGTCTTGAATGCGAGGTCAAAGCCTCGGTCTGAAACAGAAACAACTGAACTGAAACAAACTCATGTTTTTTTACGCATTAGCTATAAAAATGTGACAGAAAATTAAAACTCAAAGCAACATTTTTTAACACTTGGAAAAATAATAATAATAATGAAGTAGTAAAGCCTTCATTAAGTCTTTATGAAATGGCAAAGAGGGATTATATAAATCTTTGTTGATTCTGGCAGAATTAAAACAAAAAAAATTCTATATTGATTTTATGAAGACACTAGATTTTTAAGGAAAAAAAAAAAAACAAAGTGATGTTTCTGTGAAATTTGATAAGCACCTGTTACAACTACTTGTTATGCTGCACAGAAGTCTGTTGGAGTCAGCCTCCCCACCATCACAGACATCTACACCTCCATATGCAGGAAGAGGGCCACCTGCATCATGAAGGACCCCACTCACCCAGCACACACACTTTTTGCCCCGCTCCCCTCAGGAAGGAGGTTGAGGAGCATTAAGTGCAGAACCACTGGACTGAGGAACAGCTTCTACCCTGAGGCTGTTAAGACTCATGAATCTCTAACCAGAATAATCACTGTGAAAAATCACATCATGTTGCTGCTGATCTGTTTCATGTGGCTGCTGATCTGTTTCAATGTTGCTGCTGATCTGTTTCAATGTTGCGGCTGATCTGTTTCATGTGGCTGTGTTCAGTCGTGCTCATCTGCTCACACAGCCCATATTCGTGCTGCTGTTCGGAGTATTTTTATACTACTAGTGCTTATTGTGTTTTTAGTTAACGTTTTTCTTAGTTCATATCTTAGATCTTATTCCTGTTTTTTTTTTACATTTTATACTTTTGTTGGATGTAACTGGGACCCTGTGTACACAATTTCGTTCCACCACATGTACCATATGTGGTGCGAATGACAAATAAAGAACCTTAAACCTTAGTAGGGTTAGCAGCCTGTGCTGCATGAAAGTAGTTATGCTAACAAAAATTTCCAAGAGGTTTATGTTTTTAAAAAAAATACTTCAATTAAATGAAGTTTAATGAAGAACTTTCAAATGATACTAGGCTCATGTACCTGTAAGTTATAGCGTTTAAATACACATGCTATTCATGTCAGTGAGTCTGTTTCTGCAAGATTTAATTTTGTTGTCATTTCAAAAGGCACCTGCTTTTCCTAATATCAGGTGGCGCTTAAAACAACACGTATAAATGTAAAAACTATCAATAAAAAGGGCCATTCTTCCACTGACCTGCCAGACTGCGGAAGAAGATTGAATGGGTGTCTTTGATGTTGAGGTTGTCCAGCAGCACCAGCGTTTTGCCGTCAGCTAAAACACAGTGCAACATGGAGGCTAACGACAGGAAAAAGAGAACATTTGTGTTTAAAAGTCTAATCCCCCGTGCTGGTCTCATTCCGGTACGTTTTTCATGCGATTTTAAAGAACTGAATCTGTTAGCCTCCCTCGCTGCTGTCGACGCCGCCATTTTGCTGCAGAAGTCGACGTCAGCGTTAGCAATCGCTGTACAACCTTTGACCCCGACATCCAGCCAATCAGAAGAGGGAACGCGTCCTGACCACTTCTCCACCAATCAGATGAAGGCTGCGCTGACAGACAAGGAAGTGAAATAAAAACATTGACCCGCCTTAATCGTTTTATCTTGAATCATTTTATGAGTTCTAGCCAACATTGGCTCTGCTAAAATTATTTCTCATTAGGCTGCACGTGTACATTTATTTACATTTCTGTTTCAGCAATTGAAAAATAAAAGCGTTGTAGGGTCTATTCAGCAATTAAAATTTTGCAGTACACTGTTACAAATTACTTGAAAATAGACTGTATTAAAAATACATTTATAACAACACCACAGAGTTTATCAGACTGCAATATTAACCTTTAATGAAATGGGGTGGATGTCCAGTGAGTCAGAGCAAGTTTACAAATATTTACAGCAGATTTTTATCAGGTTAAGAGGTTTTTAGACATATCTGTACACACATAAGACACATGAAAGTTTGTCACAAACTCATATTCAACTTCTTCACTTCTGTAAAATGTGAATTGTCATGTTCATGAAGCTGTCCTACATAAAACACCTGTAATTAAGCATAATAAAATAGTTTTTTTTTTTTTTTAAGAAAATGTACTCATTTTATCATGGAAAAAGAAAAATATTAGCTTTTTATTGTACATTTAATAATAGTTCACACCTAACATAAAGGGCAAAACAATGTTCTACATTTTGTCTAATAATAAACCAGCTATACAAATTTTGATAATCATCTCAGTAATATTTTACAAAAATAACTAGGTATTGCTATGCTGTTCTTGGGAAAGCAAATATATGATTTAAGATCAATAACTCATAGGAAAAAAATATTTTAAAAATATATGGTATAGTTCCTCTTAAGAATGTTGTAAACATCATAGTCCAACTCAATCAATGACTAATTAGGACACTTAATATTTTAATGTCCTTCTTTTGCATAAATTAATTCATCAGGATCAATCTTTTATGCATTTTGCATAAATATGAGTCCCTAACCCTGACTCTCACATTCCATTCCTTCTTTCTTTTCTCTGCATCTTCGCCCTCTGTTTGGTGCTCAGAATGAGTTTAAACTTGTCCTTCGTCCACCTCCTCCACTATATGACTTATTTCTTCTGACCCTTGTGGTGCCTCTCCAACTATCTGGTCCTCTGCTTTTCTCTCCCCCTCCTCTGTACGGATGATAACTTGTCCTTCCTGTATAACCTCTTCAGATGTGGGTTGCCATGTTGTGGCAGCATCCCCCTCAGCAGTGGTGGTGTACTGGTAGAAGTCAGAATCTGCCTGAAACATGACCAAGGCCTGAGCTGTGTGGATGCGCACATGCTGAGCGAGGGAGCTGGCATCAAGGAATTTATCACCACACGAGTCACAAGCGTACAAGATTTGGGTATTCGGGTCTGTGAACAAAAGAAAATTTACACAGTGAGCCATAAGATTTTTCATTTTATGCATCCTTTGAAGTTGAAAAGTCTAACAGGAATATTAGCAATTTCCTCTTCTAGTTTCTTGATGAGAACAAAGAAAACAATAGAAATTCTTACATTTTGAAAACAATTGTCCTTGATCTGCTTGAATCGATAGTTAATGCTTCTCATCATACAACATTACACGATTATGAAGATTTTTTTTTTAACTACCTCTATCTCATCACATAAATCCAATTGAAATTAGAAGCTTTATTCCCCCTGATCCCAACTGAAGCATAATTTCTAATCCCAATATTTGAACAATTTCCTTTTTTATATACAAACTTTATTACTGCAATTAAGAGTAGATTCATAGTACAAGTCTTACCTTCTTCTTGAACCTTCTCTACCGCTCTGGTGATTTCAGCTTTCAAAGCCTCAGTCTCATCCACAGACACTGAAGCAGACACTGGAACAACTATTAACAGACATGAAAAACATTTAATATTGTCTGACCACTTTGATTTTTTTTTTCCCCATGTTGAAGAAAAGTGTTTATCCCAAAGTACTAACTTAAAAAAACAGAACTTGTCTGACCTGTAAGCTGACCTACAGCATTAGCTGCAAGGGTTTCAGTTGCCAAGGTGACAATATCCTCTGTGGAGACAGTAACTATTTTGATATCGTCAGTGGTGGTTGCTCCTACACACTCTTCGTCCTCTTCTTCGTCAGCTCTTTCTGCTACCACGAGTAGATTTATGCCAGCTTTGCCTTGGTGAACAGTCTTGACGTGGGAGCGCAGGTTATCCACACGGTTAAACCCTCGGCCACATTTATCACAAAGGTAAGGTTTCTCCCCTGAAACAAAATGAGAAAAGCGAGACCATGCTGTGAGCTCAGCAGGATGTAGATGTGGTTGTAAATATACATCACAATTCACAACAACCTCAAAGCTTCATATTTATTTGATCCAAAGATTTATCCTCACCAGTGTGAATGATGATGTGTTTGGACAGGTCTCCCACGTTGACAAAGGCCTTGTTGCACATCCGACACTTGTGTGGCCGCACATTGTCATGATGGCGAATGTGATTGGCCAACTGGCTTGACTGTACAAATCTGTTCAGGTAGAAAAAATAACGAATATAGTTGGTGTTGACTTTTAGACTATTTCTTCATTTCAGCTTTACTTAAACATTTTATCACAGTATCAGTGAGCAAAGTATCAATATCACAAACAACTGGAATAAATAATGGAGCATTATAATTCAAGTGCCATGCTTTCATATTCTGCACATAATAACAAATTTGGTTGATTTAACAGACTCCCACTAGCCTTGATGCCCACCTAGGGTTTAAATCAGGGCTATTCAACAAAACTGCTTAGTGGGCCACAGTTTCTGAGAGCTAGCAGCTCGGCAGCCGGACATCCAGAAATTAAAGTCATTTTTTTTATACCTTTATTTTACCAGGAATAAATCCATTGAGATCATCAAAGGATGTCCTGGACAAATTATATAAATAAACCATGTTTTACAATGATCTGTTACATCTTAAATTTGTTTATTTTATTGCATTGAATCATAAATGCAACCAGAACCTAAATCCCAAACTCACAACCCCACCCCCCACCGGGAAGAAAAAAAAATCATGAAAAAATAAATAAATTATGAAATGGACTGGATTGAAGTCACTTCCAGAGCTGCTGTCTCTCAGCGAACAGGTCCCTGGTTCAAACCCCGGTCCAGGGGCCTTCTGGGTGGAGTTTGCTTGTTCTCTCCGTGCATGCGTGGGTTTTCTCCGGGTGCTCCGGTTTCCTCCCACAGACCAAAAACATGCATGTTAGGCTGATTGGTAACTCTAAATTGTCCCTAGGTGAGTGAGAGAGTGAATGGTTGTTTGTCTCGTTTGTCTCTATGTGGCCCTGTGATGGACTTGCGACCTGTCCAGGGTGTACCCCGTCCCTCGCACAGTGATTGCTGGACATGGGCACCAGCGACCCCCGTGACCCAAAATGGAATAAACGGGTAAAGATAATGGATGGATGGATGGATGGATGGATGGATGGATGGATGAAGTCACTTCCGGCCCACGGGCTGCCAGTTGAATAACCCTGGTTTAAATGGTAATAATGACCGGAACAAAGGTAAGGAGAGAGGAAATTTTACGTTTGTCACACTTGATAGCATTACTGCAATATTAAAACATAATATAGCACATTACAAGTTTTTTTTTAATGTTCAACCTTAATAAATGTTTTAGTTTATTAGGAGAAAACTTGAAGTAGGCAATTAATTTGATGCAGGGTTCACAAAAATTAAGAACAGCACTCAGTGGTCAATAAAATGTATAAAGCTACGGAACTATATTCCTTAAAAGAGAAAAATATTTCCAATGCTGTTTTTCTTTTGCATAAAATGGAAAATACAAATCTGTAAAAGATCTTTGAGAGAAGTTACAACAGGAGAGAGAAGGCAACAAGGTCTTAAAGGTGACTGATTTTATTACATTGGAAGCCCAAACCATTACTTTGATTTTAAAAAATATATTTAGTTGCCTTTTATTTTCAACCTAAACTACACAAAATAGAACATTTCTATCTCCAACAAGGCTTTTTATCTGCTTTGGCTAATCATAACTTTTGTAGAAAAACATGGAGTTCTGATGCTTGATTTTATTGCCAAGTAGAGCCTGACTGATATATTGGTAATGGCCAATATTTTAGGCCGATATAGGCGTTTGGGGACATATTGGTATTAGTCATAAATGTCCCATTATGCACCAATATAAACACTGGGAACAAGACATGTCCTTACTTACATGAGGTGTAATTGTACAATGTATCCAGCAGAGGGTGCATGCAGATGACTTTCAAGTCATGGCCATTCGCTTTAACTTTCACTTTAAGTTTCACTTTCATCACAGCCGAAGCAGCGAGCAATACTGTGTAGCATCTTTTCTGAACAGAGCACGGTAAGTTTATGTTAACTGATCTGTAAGATTTTAAAAAATCAACAATAATAAATTCTCTTCAATCCTCTGGCTCGCTTGTCAATAGCTACGTGCCTCTCAAGTTAGTAAGCTAATGTTTAAATAACCTAGCATAGTCTATTGTCTTGTAAATCTTTATCCAGAACAATAAATCTGGCATAGACGTAAAATATTTCAGTGTTAGTAATGTTATCTTTGTCATCCTCAATAAAATGCATTGTTTGAAATCTTTACTTCCGTGCAAAGAAAAAAACCGCAGATGTGGTCAATACTAATTAGGCCTTCACCATATGTGACTGAATGCAAAATTATTATTTACTACGGGTGTTTCTTTAATTTATATTTTTGTAACACATGTATAACTTTATGATGAATAGTAGAGGATAGAAAATGTGAACACACGTTAGGAAGACTGTTTCAAGGCTTCAAGTGTTAAAACAGGTAGCTGTTAACTGAGACTCTCATGGGTGGACAAAGCTTAAAATTTTTCAGCAATTATATCAGTTACCGGCATTAGCCCCCACCCAATAGCAGTATCAGCGACAGACAAAATTTTTGTATTGGTCAGGCCCTACTGCTAAGTGTCACTGCAGACTGGACAGGTTTGTAATTTGACAGATGCTGCATGTTTAACGGTTCTGTGGGTCTGATACAACACAGCATGTTAAGCAGGCGATAAAGGAAGATGCTAAACACACAATTATGTAAATACAGCATCACAAACGTAGTGGTGGCCATTTTAAACATTTCTGTACTTTTATCTTGGAAGTTTGTACCAGTCGTTGGTGCATAAGTCGTAATCAAATCATCCTTACTCCTCTGTTCTCTCCTCACATTTTTTTTCCATTTTGAATAATTTCAAATTTTCCAGCAGAAGTTTAATTTCTATCATGTTCTCTTTGTTTCATTATTCATGTGTCAATTACATCTTGGCAAGCTGACCTTTTGCCGCAGCGTTCACAGACGTAGGGTTTCTCTCCAGTGTGCTGACGAACATGAGCGATGAGGGAGCTGGCCTGAGTGAAAGCCTTGCCACAGACAAGACAAACACATGGTTTCTCTCCTGAAACACAAACCACTGTCTCACTACAGAGGGACAAAGTTTACATCTATCTGAGGTTTCTGACCTAAAAATATTTCACAAAACAGCATGCCTGAATGCGATAAGCGTACCTGTGTGGATGCGTTCATGGCGCTGCAGAGCTCCGGGGTCGCTGAAAGCTCTCTGGCAGTGCGAACAAACATACGGCTTCTCCCCACTGTGAACCCGCAGGTGTCTTTTCAGGTTCCCTTAAACCAAGATGGCACAAATGTCTCAAAGTCAAGAAACACAAACTTTAAATTTGCTTTTTAAACAAGAAAACTAACAGCACCTATTATTATGCTTGTTTGACATAATAATGTAAAAAAAACGACAGCATCAGCCCATCTCTTTCCTTCAAGTCATTTAGTGTGAAAACAGTGAGAATTAAATGAGTATCTGATCGTAACTGTACCTGGAAGAGCTTTAAAGCTTTAGTCAAAATTATATACATTATGTGGTAAAACGTGTCTAAAAACAATCCAAAATTATTATTTACAAGATAAAATTATCTTTTGGGTTTGACTGCTTTCAGAAGAGAAAATATTAACAAATTAAAGTACTTCAGGATTAAGAAATGTACACAATTGGTAACTTTAATGCTAATAACTCAGAAATATTTTAATTTAATTGTTTTTCTACCTGGATTATTGAGCATGCATCAGTAAATTTAGATTATTCTTTGCATGACCAATAAAATAGTAGTAGAATAAGAATGAAAAGAAAAAGTGTAAAAGCAATATATTTAATTTACTGGTGACTTAACAGACAATAAAGTCAGTCTTATAGCTGACAGGAAATATCTTTCAGAGCTATTTCTTTAAGAACTGAACACCTAAAAGGATAAACTTATACATTTCTTATACAACAAGCATCATTTGAAATTACATTGCTGAATTAAAATAAAAAACTTAAATCCTTCTTTTACCTGATGTTGTAAACTGTTTGCCACATTCTTTGCACTTCAGAGGCCCGTCTGCAATATGGATTTTTAAATGTGACTTCAGATTCCCCACCTAGTGAGAACAAGAGAAACATATATAAGAAATTGTTTTTGAAACTTAATTTAAATGTGTACTGTAGTCCCTCGATTATTGCGGGGGTTACGTTCCACGCACCACCGCGATAGGTGAAAAACCGTGAAGTAGGAACGATAT